CATTGCTCCAACTCCCATTGTACGAATACTGTAACGATGAAAAATATCTTATTATTATTATTTTTTGATATGATGAGTACAACTAAGCAAGATAAGTCAAAAACACATACAGCAGACGAAGTACACAATGAAAATGAGAACAATGTTTTCATGAAAATTGAAAAGCGATAGGAAAAAAGCAAAAACCAAATGTATTAAAATTAATTTATATTGCAGATAAATAAATCTATATTTACAAGTATTTTTGTTCTTTCAATGAAACTGGAATATGTCTACTGTTTTGAGTGCTGAATCTGAGTCTGCTCTCTCTGTAGACGATGAGACTATCACAAAAGAAGCTCGTCGTTTATATTCGACAATGTTCGGAAAACTTTTGGACGATGCCGACGACACACCATCATTGATCTGTGACCGTCTATTTCTTGGTTCTGCATCCGATGCTCGAAACCTTGACAAGTTGCAGCATCACCGCATCAAGTACGTGCTAAATATGACGGGATCGACATCGTACCCCGCTGATTTCTTCACCACTTCCGGCCATCCACATATGACTCTTCTCGCTATGGATGCACATGATGTAGATAATTACAATATCGCCGCTCACTTTCCCGTAGCACTCAATTTCATTCACAAGTCATTACAGGCTGAAGATGGAGCAGTTTTGGTTCACTGTGCTGCAGGTGTATCTCGTTCGGCCGCGGTAGTTGCCGCCTATCTGATGGCCGTGCTCAAGATTGGTGCCGCCGAAGCCACTTTGCGCGTGCATCGGACACGTACCTGCGTGTGCCCAAACATCGGCTTTCTGCGTCAGTTGCTTCGTTTCGAACGCACAGATTTTAAATTTACGTGAATGCTATAGTGTGATCACTTATATGTAATATTTCTTTCTTTTCTCTGTTTTGATGACACGTACTATATATGTATCCTTTTCTTCGTCTTAAGATATTTTCCTTCTTGTTCATGTTTTTTTCCAGTTCGTTCGCACATTTATAGTGACCATTTTAGAAAAAAAAGTTAGATGTTCATTATCGATCTGTTTGATCGAATCATCCGTTAACAATGCACGATGATAAGAGCCGCGTTATATTTTTGCATGTTTACCGTGTCATATGAAAATATAAGTCCCTAGTCAACAGTTGTTATTTTGTATTCGTTCACTTCGTTTGTGCCATATGGGATATTGAACACTGGTCAGCGAGATTATTTCAGCATTCAAAACATAAATGTGTAAAATGTTTGAATTTATCATAAAAAATTTCCAGTGCGCTTCTAATTTTATTTCGTGGTGAATAGCAGATAATAGCAAAAATTACAAATGAACTGTCATAAACGAGACTGCACTGAGATGCATTTTTCCCTTGTTTCTAGTTGATAAATAATCCATTCATCTACCAAATGTTAGAAAATGTCAAGCTCTACAAAATTATCGACTTTGCTGTTCAAATAAGTTTTTCTTCGCTTTGAACAGTAACAATGATGAATACCTATTCAATTGTCTAAATGTGATAGTCAAAAAAAATGTAATGCATCATCATTTTTTTAAAATAAAGATTCTGCTGAAATTTCATATATCCAAAGGAAACATCTCTAAAATGCTGCATCTTTGAATGCCTATTTCAAAGTCTGTAAAAATACAGAAAAAACTATTTTTTGCATCCGGCCTTATCATTTTGCTTGCTTTGTTTGAAGATGTCTAAATGTTTTTACTGTTCAGTTTAACAGCTAAATCATTGTATGCGAAATTGAATTCTACAATAGATGACATAACAATAAAACATGTCATGTATCAAGTGTGACTTTTGGCAAAACAGTCTTTCAAGATGCACTAAAATTACCCCAATATGACAGTTCGAAACAACGATACCGGGAGACGTCCAAACGTCTCGAAAGCGTAAAGTACCAAATTCCCTATCAATTAATAATGAGTACATTGTTTTTAGAATCAGAATTAACAAGTAGATGATTACACAAATCAAGAGATGTCTGCAGAAAATCTGAACATGGATCGTTTTGTAGGTTTTGAAATTTTTCAATAATTTGAGATATCAATGAATTTTACTACGTGAGTTAAAAACGAGAGAAAAATAATGCTTTTACATTTAGTTCATTTCATTACGGCTCATCCGGTACATGCGCGTTACTGTCTTTGACTGACGCCAACAAGTAGTGACAAAGTTTGATGTTGTCAAATGTTTTAGCGCTGATGCGTCGCGAATAGCTTTCAACATTCACTCAATATTGAAGTAAACGACACCAATACCAACCATTGTCATCGTGGAACAGATTAGCCTTTAACTCATCATCGCTTAATAACATTTTTGTTTTTTAACCAGCATTAATTAGTAAAAATATGACTTGCTTTTTCCAGACATTCAATGATGTCACTGGCATCTGGATAAAACACTCTTCTCCCGAACAGTGTGGCATGTGGATGTTGCAGGAGTGTGGGTAGATGTGTTTGTAAGTTTTGCTTATCCCTGATTCCCATTTTTGGTGTGAAGATGTTGGTCGGGTGGGGTAAGAACTTTACATCATCATTCACATCTGTCACCACATCTACACCTCAAATAAATAAAGACTATTACGATATCCATGTATATGTTCAAAATATACATAATATGTATTCCATATTTCATCAAGTAGGATCGAAGATAGAGCTCTGTACAAATTGTTGAAGAAAGGACTATAAGAAGCACACCGAACAATTGTCTTTCTTCTTGTATTCTCATTAGAAACAAGGGCATACATAATTGAACATTGCCATTAACTAGTCACTCAATCTCATGTGCGTTTCTGGGTCATGAATGAAAAAGTAGCAAAATGCACAGTCTCATTAAAATATCTATAAATTATCATCAAACGTATCAAGCAGTCATGCTCTTTTAAATCGGACATTGGAAGTCGAGAAGTTATTTGACATATCAGCTCACTTTTCTTGAAATCATCACTTATATCTCCGATTGCCTTTAAGATGGATCGATAATGATTAATATTCAGATATTGATTGTAAATCAAAACAGTGTAAACACTAAATTTATCCGAACTAGAATATATTGTTTCTGTAGCTGCAAAAATGGCCGCTAGATGTTCAGATGTAAAGTGATCTCACGAACAAAATACTCTTAGGCAGATGGCTTTTTAAGCATCGTCACCAAGACGCTTGATACCACTGATTCTGCTTACACCGAATCAGATGTGATATTCTTGGCAGCAAGTGCTAGCTTCGTGTTCAACATTGATGGTGGTTCATTGGTAAAATATACAGTATCTTATGATTAAAAGCAGCGCTATTGCTATTGTTATAGAAAACCACAATGATTTTTCTCATTCAAAATCTATCAAAAGTTTTTGTTACTTTTATACTTCACTTCGGATATTCGCTGGACTAGTGAAAGATCCATGCTGAAATAGCACCATCTGTTAATCTCTACGCGAATAAAAAATGAAACACGATGAATCCGTTCTACTACTTAGGCCACGTAAAAAGTAGAAGCGAAGGTATTTTAATTTCTTATGAAAAACTTAAAGAAATTTTTTCTCTATATAGTCTCATAGTAACACTGATTTCTAGTCGTTATTGAATATTCGAAGACCGTTGAGAACGTTCCGCTCTCCCAATCTTCTTTACTGTCGATACATAGTCTAAAACAAAGGCGATCGATTTATAGCAGCTAATATGCACTTGCTCGTCTAACAGACTGACTGGTAAATCTTGCCAATATCGACATCCGTAGGCAGCACGAACATTTTCTTCTCTTTCTACAGTCTTTATTCTGACGTAGATTGAACATGTGAGACGATCCTGTCTATCGGCTGAAACGCTAATTCATAATAGTGAAACATCAATCTAACAGTATAAATCGCCAGAAAGACAATTAATATCGAACATGTCTTATTTTTCTGTCTTCTTCTCTAACAATATTCATCCGAACGGGTTCTGATCATGGGAGGTGAACGGATGGATTGACAGCCATATGTTCCTAACACATACAACTATATTCTCACCGATAAATTTTTCATTAGTTAACTGCAACTATTCTTATGTACACTGTACCTTCTGTCAAACTCTTATTTCGAAATGAAGACTTAAGCATGAAAAACGAATTCAATCGAAATCTCTAAAGCTTTATACAAGAATGCTCATCGGTAGTCTCGTCATTCGAAAAAATGGGAGGATATGTAGCATCACCACAAAGTGCATTATATGTGATTGCGTCGGTCAGTCATCATACTTGGTTCGTGTACCATTTATAATAAAAACTCGAAATATGGCAAGTAATCAATATTTACATAGTTAATCGTCGACGATATCTGCTTATCTATCTTTCTAATGGTCGAACGTATCTTCTAATTAAAATTTTATCTTTCCTGTCGCTAAACTATGGGAAGATGCATATCGTGTAGAAGTACTATGAGTAACTTAAGATGACTAACCGACAGATTACCGTTATACATAAACGCACATGCATATATTTTCTCTTTGTCACATGCTTTAACTGCACATATTCATTCGATGATGGCAATGTTGTTTATCGTAATGTATTCGCCATCGATGATTTTTCAATGTGTGTACAAAATCAACACTGTTAACATTCATTTTTGAGCATAATTTTTCTTGTTTCTGTAAGTTTTTTTAGTATTTTGAATGTGAGGTCAGTTTTATTAAATAACAGTAATCACAAATGTCTATGAGGAAAAGAACAAGGTAAAAAAAGACATATAGAAAAGGGAATAGGTATGTATATGTATGACACGTAAGGGAAATGAATAAGGCTATACATACTGTGCGGGAGCATAGAAGGAAAAATACCGCTTTAATATATCATTTAGTTTGTACAGAAAAAAAACCAATGTGTAATATGTTTGCGTATATGGGGCAAATCCTTAACATTTCGCAATTCGTTCTATTAAACATTATATAAACTAGTATTTGTATTTGTTTTTTTTTATTCCAATTCGTTTTATCAAGTCTCTCTAAGTAGAATCATTACTGTTAGCATATGCATTTTATCAAAAAAACGGAGAAAAAGTTTAAATCATTATTAAAAATTCGTCGTAGTAATCATCAGGAATTACTCGAAAATCTACGTGTAGAAGAAGCAAGTCAATTCTATTTTGCATGTAGGAATGGAGATATCGATACAGTCAAACAAATATTACCTACTGTTCCTTATGATCAATTGAATCAATTGGAGCCTAATGGTAGTACTGCTCTTCATGTTGCAACATGTTTTGGTTATGTAGATATTGTTCGTTTACTTCTACATGAATATGGTTGTCAACGAAATCTACAAGATCGTCATGGTTTCACGGCATATGAAAAAGTACAAACAGATGAAATGCGACAACTCTATGATCGACCGTCAAATGAAAATCGATTTAATGACGATTCAATGGATATCAAACAAATATTTGAAATACTTTCATCATCAATAAATAAAATTATAATCGGCGATCGTGATGACGACGATGATGTTGCCAAACCCAATAAACGGTATCTTATCGATTATGAAACAAATGAAGAAGTCAAAAACCAATTAGATAACATCAATAGTGCTAAAATATTCTTTCAATCGCGAATCGGACGATATATAATGGGACAAAGAATGAAATTAAAACTTGGAAAAAAAGATGACTATGATGAAGAAGAATATGCTTATGTTACAAGTGAAAAATTTCGACAAGAATCTTTGCAAAAAATCTTGGATGAATATGTTACTTCAAATCATCTTGACTATCAATATTGGGTAGGTTATCATTTGCCCTAAATTGTGGTTCCCTAAATTACTCCCTAAATAAGTTACCTATTTGTGTCCCTAAATCAAATAATAAATTTCTGTTGACCAGAAAAGTATTTTTTCATACAAACTGAAGATGAGGACGAAGAAAAGGGTGTGTTGTTATATATATTATCACCAAGAAAATCCCTAAATTAAGCTGGTCACCAGAAGTTTTTTGATTGATTCAACAGCCATAAATAGAGAACTCATTTAGGGAGTCATTTAGGGAACCACAATTTAGGGCAAATGATAATCATTCCAATATTGCTGTCATCTACTCAACGAATATATTCAACAAGGTACAATTGAATCTCTATTGAAACTCTATACATTGGAAACACCATTTTATCGTAAATTATTGTTATGGCCAAGTCCATTAAAATTTCCACTCTTAATGCATTTATCAGATTTAAAACAACGTTATTATCCAGAATATTTCTATCGTGGTGTTCAATTGACTCAACATGAATAAAATGAATATTGTTGGGCATTGAAAAATAAAGATGGTGTTTTATCATTGCTTACATTTGTATCGACATCTATTAATCGAAATGTAACTGAGCAATTTTCTGCAAAATCTTCATCATCACCAGATAAAATAAGTGTCTTATTGATATTTCATTTTTCTCAACCATGTGATACAGCAATAAACTTAAGTAACCTACCTGTATATCAACTACCATGTATATCAAATTTTGAAAATGAAGAAGAAGTATTAATTAGTCCACGAACATTTTTTAAAGTGACAGATATTGAAATTGATCGACCTTATGAACAATATACGATTTATTTGGAGAATGTGTGCGGAAAACAACAAACCATGTTGAAAGCATTAAAATTCTTCCTTTCAGTTGGCTTGAAGAAGAAAACTAGTAAATGCTTCATCATGGATCATGTATTCCGCACTAATAATTGCAGTTTTTCTGAGAATGAAACTATGTCAATGAATAAAAAGATATGAGAGAAATGTAATACATGACAAAAATCATTATAATTTTTGTATTGTAAATAAATTTTCAAAAGAATTATTCTTTATGCTTACTCGAAATCAATGTACTTGAATTTAAAATTCTTAATTTTTGAAATAGATGAAGATATGCTAGGTACATGAGGATGTGAGTGTAGACAATTGTACGGGAAGATGGTTCTTGGTGGTCGTTGAAAATACGGGTATAGATGTGGATGAAGAATATAATTATTCTAATCAATGAAAACACTCACATCCTACACGTCATCGATATTTAATCTAGATAGTTGCAACGGTATGCCTTGATCTGTATCATTCATTATATAGTGATGCACAGAAGTGTGAATTCCCTGCAGATAGTAATTCACTATATCCTCTATTAATCGATACACGATTTTACAACAGATCAGTATAAAAGTCGTTGTTTTTTTCTAAAACCATTTGTACCTCAAGAGACTGAATTATGCAATTGCAATCTCCTATTAATATCTTCAGTGTTTATTCTTTTAATTATTCAATTTTATATTTCTATTTTCAGAAGCATATTTGTTTCTTCTTATTTTTGTATAAAAATAAAATAAAAAAGTCACATTAGATTAGAACTTATGCTATTCTTTGTTTTACCTCAAACACATTATTTAGTTTACATTTATTCATAGAATAACTCTTTCTCTAGATCACACATGCACGCATAGAAATTCTTCAATAGAAAAAAAAACAAATCATGAGCAGAAAAACATAGATATTGAGAAAAAAAATGAACTTGTGTAAAGGCAAACAGTAGACTATACAGAAAAAAAATATATACAAATGTACGTTAAACGAAGAGAAAAAAAATTGACCGTCGATCAAAAATAGAAAAACACAAAAAGTTGTTTTAGGTATATAATGATAGAATGAGATTATTTATTAGCTTGTAGGTGACTTGATAATATACTATGAGATAGTTGTCTTGCATCAAAACTTTTGAGTACTTCACATACATGATCATACTGCTAAGATCCAGCTAAATCATATGCAGTTACATCTTGTTCTTCGAACGCAAAATTGTTGATCAACATTTCCATCATGTTGATATAAGATTCGAACTGTATTAGCATGATCCTTGACTGCTCACAACAATAACAATAGTTATATCATATTGTTCTATGGTTATATATATAGATGGACAACATTACATTCACAAACAAAAAGATAAATCATACATACACATATACAAGAACAGTAAAGATTGAAATATAAGTCGAAATATCGTGTTCTTATTTAAAAGCAATTTATTCAATAAAATAAAAACTCATACATAAATACTCGTTTTAGCTGCATTCTTGTATTTCTATCATATCTTCTCGTCCTTCTCAAGACCATTTGGCAACTGTATTATAAGATGGAGTTTGATCGCCGAAAACAAAATATAATTCATCATGAATCGATTTCGGTTGAATGTTAAATACACTATGCACCTTTACGAAGAAGCATAAATTTTCCTTATTGATCTAAAAATAAGGATACATAGTTTTCATTATAATTTTTCGTATGAAAATATCACTGGATTCATGCTACTATAATACAAACATGTAGAGCTCTCTTCGTACCATATTCTTATACGGACAGAATTTCTATGTAAACTCTTATACATTAAAGTTCTCTAAATGTTAGTGTCAATAAAAATTTAGTTGATCAGTACAACAACAAAAATATGACAAAGACTTTACCTGTCTAGCAGGGAAATTTTCATCAGATGATTTTTCTTGCAGTGTAATATTAACATTAGCAGTGGCTTCAGTAAGTATTTGAACAAGTTCTCGATTACTGGATTTAGTAGAAAGAAGTAATGATGATACACCATAGCAATTGTGTACATTTACTCTTGCTCCTTTTTATTAAAAACTTTGCAACATCAACACGATTGTTTAATATAGCCACAAAAATATGCTTTTGGACTAATTATATTTAAATTATCAGCCTCTGGACCACTTGCTTCATAATTAAAATCAGCACCAGCTTCAATTATATCTAAATTACATATTTCACATGCCAACAAAAATGATGTTGAACTGAGTTTTGTTACTGTATTTGGATCAGCATCACATTTAAGAAGTAATTTTCCAACATCAAAAACCAGTTATATTTAATTCATCAGCTTGACTATCAAATGGAGTAACATGTGTTTCAGTACCGTCATTTAATAATAATTCAACAACTTGTAATATGCCTTTTTGTGATGGAATGCATAAAGCACTAACACCATAATGATTTTGAACATGTCGATCAGCTTCATCGTCTAATAAATATTTAACTATATCTGTTCGATCTTCTTTTGCTGCACAAAATAATGATGTTTGACCACATAA